ATCTACTTGAACATACAAATTACAGTGACAGTGACTATTCAGTAGCTATAATGTTTGTTTGTTTCTTTCTTTGATACCAGGGATTGAACTCAGGGTGCTCAACTAGTGAATTACATCCCCAGCCCTTTTTATTTTTTATTAGACAGGGTCTCACTAAGTTGCTTAGGGTCTTGCTAAATGGGTGTGGCTGGCTTTGAACCTGCAATTCTCCTGCCTTGGTCTCCTGAGTCTGTGGGATTACAGGTGTGCACCAGGGTGCCCAGCTAGAATGTTTCATTTTTACAAAAACTATAACAATCCATTAAGGGTCAGGTGTTAGACAAAAGGAATAAGTTAATAAAATAAGCATAAAACATTAGTTTACTACAAGAGTTCACAATTTAAATAGCGGCAAAAAGACTTTTGAGGACCAACTTAAAGATGAAATCTCGTGTTTAACAATAAATGCAATTATGTATTCACTTTAAGGAAAAAATGAGATTGAAAAACAAAAATATGTGGATTTTCAGTTTGATGCTTTATAAGGAAACTGAGGCTTTGATTAAATTATTTGCCACATAAATCATGAAACTGCTTCTTTATCTAATATATCATTGTGTTTACATTAATTCTGATTTTAAAATTGTCATCTTTGAAAAGACTAACCTTAATTCAACAAATAAACTGCTTAAATATATGATTAGAAAGTTAGCCAGGCACAGTGGCTCTGTCCTGTGATCCCAGCTAGACAGGAGGTTGAAGCAGAAGGATCAGGAGTTCTAAGCCAGGCTGGGCAATTTGGTGACCCTGGCTTAAAACAAAAAGGGCTGGGTAGCTCAGTGGTAGAGCACTTGCCAAACATGCTGGAGGCCCTGCATTCCATACCCAGTACCACAAAAGACAAACAAAAAGTTTTAAGCTCCATACAAAGAAGCATCCAAAGCTATAATGCAGAAGTAAGTTTCTATACCTTTAAGCACCTCTTATCATTTTATTTACAAGGTACATTTCAACATGTAGACAGAAATAACGCAAACCACAGGAGTTTGAATCTGTAAGATGTAAGTGTAAACAGTGAAATTTGCTTTTCCATTATTGTTTTAAATTATCTCTGCATATTCTATGTACTATTTTAAATACATATTCCTTAAAAACTGTTTTAATTATTCTGATAATATTTTTTTTAGGTGTAGATGGACACAATGCTTTTATTTTTATGTGGTGCTAAGGATCGAACCCGGATCCCGCCCATGCTAGGCGAGCGCTCTACTGCTAAGCCACAATCCCAGCCCCTATGATAATATTTTTAAGAGGAGGAAAGCCCCAGAAATACCACAATATTAAAATTAAAATGCTATTACAAATGTAAAGAACTGAAATACAAATATACGTATATATTTGGTGATTTCTTACAAGTACTTTATAAATACTGCCTTGTGATTTTGAGACCAATCAATATACTATAAAGCATCCTTTGTAGCTCTTAAGTCTCGTTTGGTGCCTAACAGCCGACATTCATTTGTAATGAAGTCTTTTTATAGTCACACAGCTATTTCATGTCCCTTTTGTAGACACATTAAAACTTTGAGTACTCCATAAAAATGACCAATTAATTGGCTCTATCATGAAAACCTGAAAAGCTACACCAAAATATTTACATCAAAGACCAGCTAAAGCTAGAATGAATTACCAGTCCCCTCAGTAAGCTTCTTTACTTCACCAAGTTGAAAACTGACTTCGAGTCCTTTCAAAAGAAAACCACAGAAAGGACCAGAGTGGGCAAATTCTCAATTTAAACATAAGAAGGAATGAGGTATCTTCAGGAATCACCATGAGGGGACATCAGAACTGAGCACCGGGGCTAAGAGGGCAGACAAGCTTTGGGGTCCAACAGAACTCAGTTTAAATCCTTGCCCCATTCCTCACCTAACTCAAGGACCTTGGGTAAAGTTAAGAAAAAGCTCCTTGAGTCTTAGTTTCTGTTATCAAATGGACACACAAGGCCTCCCAACAGGGCTGTTGTGAGAACTACATTAGAGAATATGTATGATAGACTGCTGAGCACAGAACTTTGACCAACTGTGAATCTCAACTAGCAGTTTTTAAATAAAATAGAGTAAAAATATAAGACCACATTGCACATAGGCAATCTAACCATTATTATCACAATTTTTTTGAAAACTTTACACATATTTATAATGTGTCTATTTAATAGGCACCTCTCTTACTGTGTTCCCCTTCCCCAAATTAAATCCAGTACACAGTTTGTGCTAGACATTATGCTAATTACATACACACATTATACACACAAAAATCCTATAAGGGAAATACTATTACCTCCCCCATTTCACAGATGAGGAAACTGGGCTTTGATGAAATTACTTGCTAAGGATAAAGCATTAGTAATCAGTAAACCCAGGGTTCAAATTCTGCCACCTAATTCCAGACCTTGCTCATTTTACCCACTTCAGAAAGTACTAGGTGGTAAAATACGACTTTTCTTTATATAAAAATTACCCAAAGCCAGGAAAGTGGCACATCCCTATAATCCCAGTGACTGAGGATGCTGAGGCAGTAGGATCCCAAGTTCAAGGCCAGCCTGGGCAACTTGGTGACACCCTGTCTCAAAATCAAAAATGAAAAAGGCTAGGGATAAAGGCTAGCGGCAAAGTTTCCCTGAATTTAATCTCTCATACCAAAAGTTTAAAAATAAATAAATAAACAAACAAAAAAGTTATGCAAAATGTAGACCTTTTCAGGCAGTCTAATTGGAGTAAGATATGCCGGGAAGCAGCATATCATGGAGAAAAGTGTGGTTAAGAGGTAAAAGCACTGGTGTGATTGTTGCTTTAGTGGCATGGAGATGGCAAGTCATTTAATCCCACTGTGTCTGGATTTCCTCACCTACAAAATGGGAATGATAGTATCTGTCCTGCCTCCTCACAGGTCATTATGAGAAAGTATAAAAACAAATAAAGTTCTAGTGTCCTACTCAGTTTTAGGAGATGATCATTAAAACCACCCTATAACTCATAGAAACACATAGCAATTATGATCCAAAAAGAGGCTTCCAGGCTTTTATGAACTACACATGGCAGCACCCAGCACAGTTCCTAGCACATAGTAGGCCTTCAGTAAATGCTCATTAAACTAAAAGAAATAAACCAGTTCTACCTATATGAACCTTTTATCCATTTTCACTTTATTTTTCATTAGTTCATTCTTTCTTAATTATTGAACACCTACTGTGTGCCAGACTAGAAATATGGGCTAGAAAAAAGGATTACAGGACCATTCCTTGCCCCAAAGAATTCCATATTAATTTCAACTAATTATTCCAATATTGTGTAAGAGAAGATGTAATATCTAGCTTCCTCATCTAGCAATAACAACAACTTACATTATTATAGTACAGTCCCTTTTATTCTTAGACCAATTGTCTAAACCTTTCAAGTAGGTATTATATTCAGGACTCCAAATTCAGTACTCTGTGGGTGCTGCAAAGTCTTGAGAGTCAAAGTTTCTCAATTTTTAGAGATGACTATAATAAACATAAGCCTTTGAATCAATTACATTTTAAAGAATCAATACTAGAAACAAAATTAATAGCATGTTTTTTTCTTGCACATTTCTGAGCTAAAATAATCCATAATGTAACCCCATACCTATATATAGCACATTTTCCAAAAAGATTTCTTTAAAAAATATTGCCTTGGAGAAAATTTTTTTACAGGCAATTGTCTTTAAGATACTAAACTAGGATTCTTTTCTCAAAGAATAAAGGAAGTAGTAGTGAAGGTATCTTCTCTTTGTTGACTTTTTCAAAATTACTCAAAATTGACTGTTGTGTTCCTGAGTCACAAACAATGCCAAATAACTGTTAGCCATATTATATATAATGCAACCACTACAACAGATAATTTTTACAGGAGAACACTGATTTAACTGACAATTTAATGAATTGAAAATCTGCCATAAGATTATTTACTAATAACCTAATAAAATTCCCTTATCCTTTGTATTCTGACCACTCCCTCTCCACCACCGCCACCCCCAACACACATACACACACAAACACACACACACACACACACCCTCACTTACACCAGATCAGTTTCCTGGCCATTATTCATAAAACCATATTAAAATTTCACAACACATGGTCATAGTTACTAGGTTCCCCCTCCCCCTCCACTGAATCAATGTGTCTTTAAATATAAATTTGCTCTTGAAACCCACAATTGAGAAAAAAATGGATATAATGCAAAGATCTACTGTAAAATTTAATCGACTGCTCTTCTGTTTACTAATAATCATGAAGAAGAAGAAGAAGAAAAAGCCCTACCCCACCCACCGTGTCCGTAGGGTTAGGAGGTCCAGTCTCTCCACTACAGAGCTCTGCAAGAAAGGACGGTTATAGTACCAGGAAAACGGTCGCAACCAGCCCCGGGAGGAGATAAGGCAACATATTTTACACACTGGCAGCGTGCGGACCCCGGCTCCAGTGCTTGGTAAACAGGGGAAACCTTTGTCTCGCCTCAGCCATCAAACTGGTGGCTCATCAGAACTGGGGCCACAAGAGTTTGTGCGAAACGGTTTGGCAGAGGTTAAACAAAGCAATGCAGCTCTAGGGGAAGAGGGCTCAGCCGGGTCCGCGTCCCAGCTCCCGGACGGCGAGCTCGGGCTCTGCCCGCGCCGCAGCGGGGTCCCCGGGACACGGGAAGGGGAGAGAATGAAAGGTCCCACGCTCTCGCCAAGTTCCCGGGGCGCAGCCCATCGGCAGGTTCCCTCGCGGGGATCCAAAGGCGCGCGCATCGCGCGCAGGTTCCTTGGGGAGGGTCCGCGCCCCGCAGCCAGGGACACCGCCCCGAGTCCTCGGCCAACCGTGCTAGCCCCTGCCCAGGCAAGGTCGGCAATCCCGGAGCTCCGCGGGGGACGGCCCGGAGGGCGCGAGCGGAGGGGAGAAGCCCGCCCGCTGCCCCCATTGTCTGGCTCCAGCCGCGAGCCGAGTAGCTGCTCACCTGCGGTCCCCCACTGGCGCCCCGGCTCGCAGAGCGGCTGGCAGGCGACGCGCGGTCTTGGAGGGCACAGCGGCACAGCCCGCGAAGCCTCCGCAGCAGCAGCAGCAGCAGCAGTCGCAGCAGCAGCCCGGCAGCGCACCCGCCTCTCAGGCGCCCGCGGCCTCCATTGCTCTCCCCGCCGCCGCCACCGCGCGGCACTGCACGCCCAGCCCCGCGCGGCGTGGTCACATGCTCTGCCAGCGCCCAGGGCGCTCGGACCCGCGCCGCCGCCCCGCCCGGCTGCGCCCCAGGACAGTCGCGGGCTGTCGCCGGTCACCAGGAGCGCGTGTTCCCTCCTGCGCCCAGCTGTGCTGGAAAGGCGCTCACCAAAAGACACCCTGGGGCTGCCCAGAAACCCCGAGCCGGCCCCAATAAAGGGCGTGGGACTGATCACTGCCCTGACCACTACTCCAGGGGATGACCGGAGGGAGGCTGAACACGTGGCCTCACAGGTTACTGTAGTGGGCTCACGGCGAAGTGCACCTTGCTTGGGTTAAGAACCCAAGACCATCAGTCACACTTCACGGGACTTAAATCGGCCGTACTCACTTGAGCCGCAGACTAAAGAGCGATGTGCTTCCCAGAGGCAGTTTGGACCTCCAGAATCCCAACCATAAGAATGTCACTGAGAGTCTTACAAGTTGATAGATGAACTTCCACCCCCGAAATAGCAAAACTAGAAATGGTATTGCAGAGTCGCTGTACATCCCAAAGGAGTGATATTGGCATCAAGTATTATTACCCCCCACCGTCATAATGAAATTAAATACTGACTTTGCTGTTTTAAGGAAAATAGTTCCTTATCTTTTCCTTTTAAGGATGAAGCAGAAGCACTGGATAGCTTTCCTCCATACGTTTTGCTTTGGCTATTTCAATGGAACCATTTAAAATCTAGTGGTCTTTTTTAGTTGCTATACTTGCAAAGCTGCTTTAAAAATAATTTAGTGTCTTTTTAAATAGAAAATTTAAATCAAAGCAAAAATCTTTTGTCTGCCACAAAAAGTAGAGAAGATGGAAGATAATCTAAATATGTACTGGATATTGAGGCAAATGTGCCAATGCCAAAAATAAGACAAATAACTTTAATGCAGGTACATGACTTAGGAGGAGCAAAGTTGATCCTGGAAGAATGTAGTTCATTTTGCCCCATCTAATTGTTTTTTTTTCCCTAGTAAATACTTTAATTAATAGTATAAAAATAGGTTGTTTATTTTTGTGAACATAGATATCTTTCAGTTGTTCAATGCTTGCCTATCCTAAACTATGTCTGCTTTGTTCCAAATAAGAATAATGAAGAGTTATAGAAAGAGTTGAGCAAGTTCCTTTTGACTTGATTTAATAGCACTAAAAGTTCCCAGGAGCCAAAACTCCAATCTGTGCAGAACATGTAATTGGGTTCTTGTAGTCTTGCCAACTACATGAGAACTATCCTCTACAAATTCAGATTAACATAAGTCAAGTATAGGGCTACTGTCTTTTTGTTTTGCAGAACAGCCAAAAAAATGAAATCTGTGCAGAACATGTAACTGAGGTATTTTTCTTGATTATTGTAGTCTTGCCAACCACATAAGAACTACTCTACTAATTCATGGCAGGGGCTACTACTGGGCGTGTAGAGAGCAGAAGCCAGAGATACTGTGAAATACACTGCAATACTCAGGACACAACCAAGAATTATCTGTCATGGCCAAAATACCCATAGTGGCAGAGTTACTAAGTGCTGAATTAGACTAAGAACTTCAAAGTCTTTTGAGTCTATAATCCACCATGTCTGGGGATTATCCCTTTCCTGTGTGTATCCACTTTGAATTTTAGAACTTTGGAAAGGAGTACATTCTTTGGATGAGAGATGAGGCTAGAGAACTGAGTGAGACAAAAAAATAATTGTACGAATAAAATCATATCGACAAATAAGAGGAGAAAGCTGAAGTAATGGGAATATTGTGTGTGATGTATCTTAACTGTGCCTTGCAACTTCTTCATAACATGCCTACTCCCAACAGTTTTATCTCCAAAATGAGAAACTGACATATCGCCATTTTGAAAGTTTCCATTAATCTGGCATAAAGCTTTTAATTCCTTGCTGACTCTGCCAGTGTTGTTGGGAATATTCAGAGTCCAAGATGAGTGAGGGGGCTTATGAAAATGGCTCAGGAGACAAGCAGTATTTCCTGAGATGGGTGAGAAGCACAGCACCTCTTCTTTTCCTGTCTGTGGTACTAACTTTATGTGCCTAAGGACAGGACCATCACTTACCTTATATCACTTAACTAAGGATATCTTGGGACATTTCTTCATATCTGTAAAATGAGGGAAACTGTTATATATCACACATGTTGTTGTTGATGTACCAGAAACTAATGCGGGATCTTGTTCGTGTTAAGCAAGCACTCTACCCCTGAGCAAATCCCCAACCCCACAACCTACTTCAAAATTACAAAGTAATTATTGCATCTGAAAATAAAGTAATGGAAAATATAGTAGGCAAATACTAGAGGAAGAAAATATGTAGGCCCCGGCCTGATGGAACATGCCTAAATCCCAGTGACTCCAGAGGCTGAGGCAGGAGAACTGACAAGTTCAAAGCCATCCTGGGCAACTTAGCAAGACGCTGTCTCAAAATTAAAAAGAAAAAAGGAAAGAAGGGAGCGAGGGAGGGAGGGAGGGAGGGAGGGAGGAAAAGAGAGAAGGCTGGGAATGTAACTCAGTGACAAACTCCTCTGGTTCAATCTCCTAGTACACACATACACACACATACACACACACACACACACAAATAATGACAAAAAGCCTGTGGGGGTTATAGCCCAAGAGATTCTCAGTGAAGATCTGTAGGCTTTAATGCATAAATTGGAAAACAAGAAAGGTCAAAACTAAGCTAAGTATAATCAAGAACATAGATGAATAAAAGAGAAAGCAGGAATAAGGAAGGAACGAAAGCAAAAAGTAATGAGATAGAAAATCAACAGTAGATTTGAACATCAAAGTTAAAAATAAAAGTTGATTTTTGGAAAAAAAATTTGATACTCTAGTTTTTATCAGTCAGGAGACAAAAAATAGAAAGACACAAGAAAATAGGAAGTATAGGATGATATTTAAAAATTAGATAAAATAGAGCTTATCCAGAAAAAAATAATCATTAACTAACTTAAGAAGGGGAAGAAATTTTGATTCGTAGAAGCAGCTGAAAAGGTGGTCGATGTTTTCCTATGAGAGTGACACCTGCCTAGATGATGTAATGAGTCCGGCTCCAACAAACTCTCAAAAGAGCTAATAATTTCCATAGAATGCAAAAGATTTCCAGAATATGGGGCTGGGGATGTAGTTCAGTTGGTAGAGTGCTTACCTCGCAAGCACAAGTCCTGGGTTCAATCCTCAGCACCACCAAAAAAAAAAAAAAAAAGGGATTTCAGAACACGGGGAAAAAGGAATTCCCAACTCAGTCCAGGAAGCTAGCATACTATGAGGACAGAGGGGAACAATGCTGCTTGTACACAGCAGCTTGCTCTGGGCCAGACCCACGGGTGAGCATCAATAAAGAATCCAAATAAAATACTAGACACTCAAAATCAATAGTGCTTTGAAAATAATAGTGTAGTTCAGGAAATGAATCGTTGCGATAGTGGCACAACATCGTGAATAGACTTAATGCCACTGAATTGTGCACCCAAAATATAGTAAACTATATCTTTTACCACAATAGAGAAAATAACATTCCATGTGTTGGGAGGCAATTCTCCAAAAATCTCCTTTCTGCACATCTATTCTCCAACTTAAAAATGCCAGAGAGGATTATCACCATCAGGAAAGGGCTACAAGTAGAGATAGGCTAATGGGACAAACTCCTTGTCATCTGTCCCTAGTGAGTAAGCCAGAAGTTGACATGAGTGCCTCTATACTCTGATTTTACAACTTTCATGATATAGTTGAGGTGCTGTTGGTGGGCAAATTAGAAGCCTTAGCTTTGGAGACTAGACAGGGTGTTCTTATCCTTCTACCAGCGAAACTGGCTGGTGACTCCAGGGATATTAGGAGGCCTGCTTGCTAAGTGTCATTTCTTTGTCCTGTTGGGCAGATTTATAATGCACCCAAGGAGACAGACCATCAAAAAGGAAGCTCTGCTCACTATTGGACTTTTTGGTACTGAAGACAGAATGTGCCTCACTTGGGCATTCTGTTTGGTCTTTTATATCAGCTAACCCACGAATCAGCATTCTTTGAGTGGGGCCAAACCAATAGCACTGAATACTCTCTTTGTCCCTTGGATCCTACACTGCAGTTTGGCAACATGTCATATGGTTTGCCTGAGTCAAGAAATTGCAGCAGCTGTCAATCTAACCTGATACCATTATCTGTCATCCCTGTGTGCTATGAAAAGAGACTCTCATGGGCACGGCTGCTCCTGAATCAATTGCTCTACCTAATGCTACCAGTGCAAGCTCCCAAACATGGACTCCACCTTGCACAGGTACAAACACACAAATTGGCATTACCTTTTTTCAGTCTGACTGGTACTAACTCATCTGCTTCTCCTGACTGCCGAGCAGCCTTGCAAGGCCATGTAGGGCTATCAGGGCTATCAGTGGCACGGCCCATTTGATGATCCAGACAATGTAAATGATGGTCCAAATGGAGTTTAACAACAAAACTGAAACTGGAGGACTTTGTGACCCTATGTGTTAGACATTTGTATGTGAGAGAGCCACCAACTGTCTTGTCCATTGTGGATGAGGGTTGCTTTCTTGCGCATTTATCACCTCCTGCCCTTGGTGGTGACACCAGAGATTAGCAGGTCACCCTAAACTGTATGTCATACAAGTCAACACATTAGCTTTAGACCACATCCTGGATTTCCAAATAACACCCACCGCTGTTCCCCATGATAGTCGATTGTGTTTGGGATCCTGGGAGGTGTGATTTCAGCTGCTACTAACCTTTCTGTTGCTGACTAACTTCTTGCTGCTTGGGTTTCTTGCTGTTTGGGTTTTGTTGTTGATTGAAATTAGCTTTAATCAGTATTTTTTTTTGTGGGAGTATTTTTTTGCTTATTCTTTTTTTTATTATTAGTTGTTCAAAACCTTACAAAGCTCTTGACATATCATATTTCATACATTTGATTCA